TGGGATAAGAAAAATTGTAAATTCTCAACGTTCGTAACCTCACCTGATATAGTGAAGATTTACTGGCCGGTGCTCGTGGTTTTTTTCCTTCTTCCTTAGAAGGGTTTTTCACGTTAAAATCTCGTGTCCCCTGTTCTTCGTTGTTTATATTGTCTATCATATCTAACACCTTTGTGGCTTGTGTGGTTGCGGCAGTGTCGTGCGGGTTGGCAGACGTGCATCGGCCAGAACAAAAGTCTCCGCGCGCCTCTCCCAATTTGCACGCACAGACCAGGAGCAACAAGGTCAGCGCCCGCCCTGGCCGGCCCGCCAGCCAGCTGGGTGCCGCCGCCTAGGAACGCACCAAATAAACCGTGTCCCGGCCGCTTGGGGTCAAAGCCACCGGCCGGCCGGCTGATCGACGGCCGGGGGCGGGCTGGGCCCCCCTCGCGCGCGCGACACGCAACGGGAACGAGGGTGCCGTCGCGGCCGCTTCGACCACAAACGATCGCGTGCATGATCGATGCTGCGTACCGCCTCGGAGTGGGTGGGCGGCTGCGGCCTGCGGCAGCACCGTCACGTACGGCGGTGGTGCGTGGCCGCGAGCCGCCGGCCGGTTTGATGGCGGGGCCCGCCCTCCTCCGCGGGCAGATAGCAGTAGGAAGCATAGCAGATTTTTGTTGGACGTACCGTACGTGCACAACGCGTTAGTGGACTTTTCTTTTTCCTGCAATTGCGCAGGGAGAGGAGGGCAAGTGAAAGATCTTTTTGTTGGGCCTGTTGCGCCGTTGGTGCCGAAAGCGATCGATGATGCCACGCGAGCGGCAGCCGGCGGGGGGGTACGTCCTCGAGCACGCGTGCCCCAGAGCCTTATGCGCCCAGAAAGAGAGCTCCAATCCCTGCCCCGCCGCTTCGATCGATGTCTTCCTTTTTATCATATTTTCCGGAAGAATCTGGCACACCAGTGACAAGGTTACTGTGGATCCACGATGTCCACCGATCGATGCTGGTGGCGTGGTACCGCGGCGGAGTTGTGCTGACATGACTAGGACATGAGCTAGGACGCCCCCACCTGCTGCCTCTGGCTTCCTGCTGTGCTGAGAGCTCACTGAAGAAGGCATTAGCGTTAACGCGCTACATGCCCTGCATCCCCATACACCGGGTACCAATGAAAATACAGCGGCAGAGAATTGAAGCTGCCTCTATGGCCTGCTGAAGCACATACAACAAAGGCGATGATCATGAGAAAGCAACATGCATGCTGCATCGACGCATGCTTATCGTTAGTTCCGGAACGGAAACAGCACGCAGAATCGAACAGCATGCTGCTACCTCGATCGAGCAATTCATGCATGGCGATCCCCACACAACTATAGGATGGCCTTGTTGTCCCGGTTGATAACGGTCTTTAGTCTCGGTTACCATCAATCGAGACTAAAGGCCATCCAGCCGAGCAAACGTGGCCGCACCCTTTAGTCCCGGTTGGTAACCTCAACCGGAACTAAAAATTCTTTTTTTTTTTTTTTTTATTTTTATTTCTATTTTCCTTTTATTTTTTATTTTCACGCTGCTACCAGGTTTTTTTTAACCGGGACTAAAAGTTCCTTTTTTTTATTTCTATTTTCCTTTTTATTTTCTATTTTCACGCTGCTACCGTGTTTTTTTCCTATTTCTATTTTCCTTTTTTTCTATTTTCACGCTGCTACCAGGTTTTTTTTGTTTCTATTTCTATTTTTCTACACTGATAGCATATATGTACGTTTATAATGTTCAACATTTTGTATAAACTATAGTACGAATGACCTTTAGTCAAGGATCAATGGTACATTCCTGTTCAAGTTCGTGCTGTATGGTTCGAGAGCTGAACTTTTAAGTTAGCTTTCACTCTTCTGAGCAAGCGAGGTGGTGCTAATAGATGGAACTGGCTAGCAATTTCAGCATATTGCGTACTGGGCCGGTCCATCGAGGCTCTCTGTGCGCCGGACTAAGGGCCTATTGCTTTGGCAGACCGAAAAATACCGTTCATCGATTGTTGTGAGAGAGAAAAATACGCGTTCTAGCGGGGACGTGAAAGTGATTCCTTAGGAAAAAACAAGCCAGCCTCGAAGCCAGCCGAACACGCCTAAAAGACATTTAGTCTCGACTCGTAATAGCAGCCGGGACTAATTGATTTGGTCCATCGAACCCTACATGCAAAAGCTGAAAAGTACAGTACAGTCGATCATCCCAATGATGGTACTGCTGCTCGATCAAGCTAGAGGCCTAATTAATGCGGCCAATGCATGCACGCAACGCGATTAACATCCGGAGATTATAGTAGTACAGTACGTAACAAATAAACAAACGCGGTCCGAAGCAACTTTCTCTACTAGTACCGGTTAGGGGGCCAAACCGGGACTAAAAGTTTTAGTCGTGGCTAACTTTAGTCTCGGTTGGTAATACTAGCCGGGACTAAAGATCCCTGCTCCGTGGATGATCGTTGGGCAGAAACCTTTAGTCCCGAGGAAAAAAAAATGTCAAAGCTAATGTCAAATTAGGACATCGTTCTAAAGTCTGTTCTCTAGTAGTGCCAGGACAAATCACGTTGGGAGGGGCCTAAATTTAGTAGGACACTGCCCTAACAACAAGCAGAGCTTTAGGTTAGCCATGTTAGTTTATTCAGCAAAGCCTATCGCTAGCTTAACCAATTCGGAGGGGATAAGCTAGAATACAGGTTTAGCAAGGAGATGATATAATTAATTCATTTCTTCTTCTGGCAGTTCGTACGAACTAGACAAGGGGGAAGCACGCATGGACAAAATCCCATTGGAGCCCCATCTGGCGTGCGATTAAGAAAACTAATCTCTATTAAAAACAATTAAGAAAGCTAATCACTTCCATAGGTTCTCTTACCTACTGCATAATAAGCGCGCTTCTCTCCAATGTCCAATGAGATACAGTCTGCTAGTCCTCGTCATTATTTGTCCTACGTACGTGGAGGACAGTTGATGAAGAGCGGAGAGAAAATCGCTAGCTTCTAACTAGCTAGAAGCAGGTCTATATTATAACATAATTTAAGATGCATGTGTAGTTTAATACTTGATTATAGTTGAATTATGACTAAATCAGAAGAGCATATAACTAATTCATTGGATGGACTGTCTAATAATGTGTCATACTCCCTTCATCAAAACATAGTGCATTGCGACTTCTAAAAGTTTGTATTGAAATATAGTGCATTCTATATGGTGTAAATGCCTAGATTGACAAAGTTTGTTAAAAAAAACCGTAATTTGAGGAGAAACATCTTAATTGGATTTAATCTATGGATACATGCATCGTTTGAGGATTTCCTTAAGTTCTCTTAGAAATTATAAAATGCACTATATTATATGACTGATGGAGTATATATAGATACTACAGATGACCAATGATTCTCATAGCCAATACTTGACTATATATGTTCGATATGCCCTAAGGGCATCTCTAACAAGTTACAACTAGGTAGATGATTTAGGTAAGCGTAAAAGAAGGTAGAACATTGCTAGCTCATATAGTAACTGGTAGTCAATCTACAACAAAGTACTGCAAGGTGTAGGCAAACTTTAATACCTCTAGTACATTAGAAAATTAGAGAGTACTCCCTCCATTCCAAATTCGAAAGCTGACTCCCTCCATTCCAAATTCAAAGCCGTTCTGTTTTTCTAGGTACATTGCTTTTGTTCAGATACATATAAAAGCAATGTATGTAGAAAAGTCAACGACTTATAATTTGAAAGGGAGTATGTTGTTGAAAGGGAATTTGAAAGGGAGTAAGTTTTGTCCAAATTTATAGATATAAGCACAGATACTTATTATGACATCAGATTGGTTTCATTAGATGTAATTTCATAGTGTATTATTTGGAGTCTTAGATGTCGGTCCTATAAAATTAGTTAAATTTAAAATAGTTTAATTTAACATAACTCTAGAAATTGATTTATTTTAAGTCAGCTGAGTACTTCCTCTATATTTAATGAACAACTTTTAAAGTTGATAGATAACTCCTGCTACTGTTAGAGATGCCTTCGTACCCACCTTGAATTGGTAGTACCGACAACATTGCTAAACGGTCTATTTTAACCTAGAAGCATCAAGGCAATAATTGTGGGCGTGATGGGATTGGTTCGAAACTCCAAAAAACTTCAATTTAAAAACAAGTCACTGCCATGTGTGGGGGGATAACATCATGGGGGCAGATTGGAGTGCAAGGAAAGCAACGGAGGAGGGGTCAAAATCTAACGAGCGATCAGTGCCGTCCACGCCGTGGTGACAGCAACAGAAAAAGCCCATATGTCGCGGTCCCGACCGTGGCGTCAAGATCTGTGCCGCCACGACGTGCGGGCATCCGAGGGCTCTCCACGAGTCAATGCGAGGCGGGGCCGGGCACCGACCGACCAAGGAGATCATTTTCCTGGCTCGGTTTAGGGCCTGTTTAGGTTCCAAAAAATTTTGCGCAGTACTCATCACATCGAATCTTGCGGCACGTACATGGAGTACTAAATGTAGATGGAAAAAAAACTAATTGCACAGTTGGGTGAGAAATCGCGAAACAAAACTTTCGAACCTAATTAATCCATAATTAGACACTAATTACCAAATATAAACAAACGAGCTACAGTACCCAAAACCAAAAAAAATTTGGCATCTAAACGCGGCCTTAGGTCGAGGCGAGCTGAGTGAAAAATCACGCGTAGCTTTGTTGCTTCGTGAACCCCACGAGGGCACGACCTTTATAAGCGAATCATTTTGGTCGCACTCGTCTCCGGAACATCCAGAACCAAACGCTCCACACACCACGGGTGCACGCTAGCTGCCTAGCTCTCCCCGCGCCGCCAGCCGGTCGCCCGCGAGCGGAGCGAATCATTCACCGGCAGTTCGTTCGCCCGTCCGTGCTCCCTTGCTGCAAGTTGGTCTAAGGATTGGTTTTTTTACGAGGCTTTTGTCGTCTATATATATTGTTGCTGTAGCGCCGCATCTTGGCATCGATTGCCGGTCGGGGCATGGACGCGAGCGAGAGCGGTGGCGGTGGCGGTGGCGCGGGGGTTGGTCGTGGGGGCAGAAGGTGGAAGGGCAAAAGCGTCATGCCCATACAGCCGCGGCGGCAGCTGGCGCCGGTGATGGAGGACGCGTCGGCGGCACTGCTGCGCCCGCTCAAGAAGATCGGACGGGCGCCGGACCGCTTCCAGCGGTCCGCGTCGTCGCTGTCGACGACGACGTCTTCGTCGGCCCCACCTTCCCCTCGCGCCAGAGCTGCAGGCGCCACCTCGCCGGCGCCGCTGTCGCCGCCCTCGGCGCGGCATCTGTTCCCGTTCGCGTACGAGCCCTCCTCCACGCCGGTGGGCAGCGCCCCGCGGCTGGAGCTCCCGCCGTGGCAGCACTCCGCCAGCGTGTCATCACAGCCGGCGGAGTCGCCACAGCAGCAGCAGGCTCATCAAGCGCCGTTGCAGCGCCAGCAGCAGATGATATCGTTCGGCGCGCCGACTCAGTACCAGGCGCAGCTGTTGCTGCCGGAGGGCCCGCAGCAGCAGCAGCATCTGCTGCGGTACTGGAGCGAGGCGCTGAACCTGAGCCCGCGCGGCGGGTTGGCCGCGGGCGTCCTGCCTTCGCTGTACCAGCACCTGCTGCGCGCTCCGCCGCCGCCGCCTCAGAAGCTGTACCGCGGCGTGCGGCAGCGGCACTGGGGGAAGTGGGTGGCCGAGATCAGGCTGCCGCGGAACCGCACGCGACTCTGGCTCGGCACGTTCGACTCCGCCGAGGACGCCGCCATGGCCTACGACCGCGAGGCCTTCAAGCTCCGCGGCGAGAACGCGCGGCTCAACTTCCCGGACCGGTTCTTCGGGAAGGGCCACGCCGGGGGAAGCGGCCGCACCAGCGCGGCATCCGCAGCCGCGCCGACAGCTGCCGCTGCGTCGGGCTCCACGTCGTCGTCGTCGCCTCCACAGACTCCTGGCGAGGAAAACACGCAGCAAACGCCGCCGGACGCAGAAGGATCGTCGGACAAGCAGCCACAGCCTGCTGTTGCGACATCGTCGTGGCTAGAAGGCAGCTCTGGTGAGACGACCTTGCCAGACTCGGGTCAAATGATTCACTCGCCGGAGGCTCCTGCTTGCAGCGAGTGGGGTCCGGCCGACGAGGCATGGCTCAGCGCGTGGGGCCCAGGAAGCTCCTTCTGGGACTACGACATTGATAGCACTCGCGGCCTCTTTCTCCATCACGGGCGCTTCGCCGGTGATGAGGCCGGCATAAACACAGCGACAACTGCGGCGGCAACCGGGACGGACATGTCATGCGATCACGTCCCGGTAACACCTGCTTCTTCTTCTTCCCCACTGAACTCACAGTCTCCTCATTCGCCTACCTTCATGGACTAAACAGCACATCCAAGTACCTTTGCTGATCTCATTCTTTTTCTTGCACGTTGATTACTTGCAGAAATAGCACTACCTAGTAGGATAGAGATGCAGCAGGTTTCAGGTTTTTTAGACAACTTGCGGCATCACACAAATTCATTTCACATCAGCATTTATAAGAACCATCCGGCCATGCCTTTCTTCATCAAATGCTTCTTCTGAAATTCACCAGGAAACCATGCTCTCGGCTGCAATATTTTGGTCAGCTACTAGGGCAACCAGTCAATTTCTCACCCATGATTTGCAACAGCATCCTCAATAGACGACTCATGAGTAGTGTTTAGACATTTCCTATACTCTTCAATGTGTTCTTCAGTTTGTAGCAACATTACGTCCCCACTATCTCCTGTGAGATGGCTTCGTCACTAATTTAGCTATGGATTCCTACTTTCCTAGTGTTGGGAAAATTATGTTGATCAGTTTATGTACGTTGTACTATATGTGATTTATTTCCATGTACTATTACCTTTCATACACAATTTAGGGTTTCCACCATGCATTGCTTTGAAATGTCAGGCATCAAGTTGTGCGTGCATCAAATTTTGTGATTACTTCAGAATTCTTACATATGGAGGGGATATGTATATATATTTTTTGGTCTTCTTTTTTTGAGAATTACACAGAAAAACGCAGACGCCCTTGATCATGAATTTCCCATAATTATGTGAATAACGGTAGTATTTTCTCTAATCACGAATATTATATCTATATATATGTAATTCTGTCCTAAGTCATGAATTTTAAACTTCAACTACCAATATCTAGAAAAAATAATCTCAAATCAAAAGAACTACAATAAATCTAATAGTACTGATAGTCAAAGTTTAAAGTTTTGATTTAGCACGATGAAATTGTATTTATGATTAGAAGAAGTAGCTTTATAAGAGTTCAAATAATGTAAGTGCATAATAACCATTTTATAGCTCGAGTAGTTTATTCCAACATGAACGTGTGCGGTGCTTGGTTAATTGACACTTCTTCAGTCACTAAAGAACTCCATGGGACATCATGGTCGAAGAAAAAATAAATTAGGAAAGCTAAATCTCAACTAGCATTTTCTATCCCCGGTCTCTACCAAATTCATTTTTTTTTCAAACCATTCCTATTGTTGTTGATAAGTTTGGCTCGTCTTCTCAAGCTATGGCGAAGTATCCAGCAAGTTTAGGACCCAGATTTTCAGTGCATGGAGGAGCCAAAGACAGTGAAACAAAAGATAATGATCTCAACAGCTCCTAGTTCATTTTTAGAAGAGAGACAAATTAAAAATGACTATTTGCTATAGTTCACGAAGAAACTGACTGGAGCTTCACCAAATGAGGACTTAGGGTTTGGGCCAGGTTACTATTTGTGGTTTGGGTTGATGGAGTCCAGATAATGGGTTTAGCTAGATGGGAGGCTACGGGAGGTATCAAACGGCTGGAAAAGGGAGCAAGAGGCGCCGGGACACAGACTTGGTGACACACATGGTGGATAAGCTTGCAGCGGTCAGCAATGAAGGATTGGGAGATGACATGCTGTTTGGAGTAAGATAAAGGATTGGGAGATGACATGTTGTTTGAAGTAAGATAAAGGATTGGGAGGTGACATGCTGTTTGAAGAAAGATAAAAGATGGAAGTAGTGAAGAACCAAGATGAATGCTCAGTTTTTAAGGGAGTTTAAACAACAGACAATGCATTAGTTAGTCGAACTGATGGTTTGTGCATGCATAAGTACTTAGAACATACAGCCCAATCATATCCATACACAACACTACTGTCGGGGACCAATACTAGGTTACCCGAAGAGGAGGAGCTAATGACCATCAACATTGATTCATCCGAGCAGTCAAGAGCGCGACTACAGCTCCACCCGACCCTAAGGCCGCAGGCTCCGCCTTGTCCGACCCTTGGGTTCGCTACCGAAAACCACAGATTTGCTAAGTGTTTTTATGTTTGCCGAGTGCATTCCCTCGGGCACTCGGTAAATAAATTCTTTGTCGAGTGCTATCCTAAAAACACTCGGCAAAAAAAACACTCGGCAAAGATGAGGGTTTGCCGAGTGTCAAACAAAAAACACTCGGCAAATAGAGGGTTTACCGAGTGTCAAAAAAACACTCGGCAAAAGGGAGGTTTGCCGAGTGTCCAAAAATAACACTCGGCAAAGCAAAAAAAATATAGAAAAAACCACCCCCTCCCCTCCCATTTTCCCACCCCCCCTCCTCCCCCCACTTGCCCCCTCCCTCCCTGCCCCCCTCCCTCCCGCCCTCCCTCCTCCCCCTCCTCCCGTCGGCGGCCGCCCCCCCTCCCTCCCTTCTTCTTCCCCTGCCGGATCCGCCCTCCCTCCCATCCTCCTTTCTTCCCCGTCGGATCCAGCCCTCCCTTCTTCCCCGTCCGGATCCCGCCCCTCCCTCCCTCCCCTTCTTCTTCCCCACGGATCCGGGCCCCTCCCTCCTCCCTCCTCCTCTCTTCTTCCCCGTCGGATCCAGCCTCCCCTCCCTCCCTTCTTCTTCCCGCGGATCCTGCCCTCCGTTTCTTCCTGGCTCCCCCCTCCCCTACCTTCTTCCCCGGCACGACCCTCCCCTCTTGCTTCCTGGCGCCGCGTCCCCACCGGCGAGATCCGGCGGCCGATGCCGCCCCTCCCTCCCTCCCCCAACGGTGAGATCCAGGGAGGGGGCCCGGCGGCGATGCACCCCTAGTGGCGGAGGGGACGGTGGCGTGGGCCAGGGGCGAGCTGCAACCCCCTGGCCGAGAGCGGTGGCGCGGTGGCGGGGGGCGTGGTGGCGGAGGCGGATGCGGCGTGGTGTGGGTGGCGGCGGCAGGCGTGGATGGTGGCGGTGGGCGTGGATGGTGGCGGAGGTGTGGATGGTGGTGGTGGCGGCGATGCTGGTGGTGCGGGCGTGGTGTCGGCGTGCCTTTTTTATTTTTTTTGAAAAAAAAGTTTGCCGATTGTTTTTTGGGCACTCGGCAATGTCTTTGCCGAGTGCCCGACAAAAAACACTCGGCAAACTAGCGTTTGCCGTTAAAGGGTTTGCCGAGTGTCGTTTGCCGAGTGTAACACTCGACAAACCCTTTGCAGAGTGTTTTTGGGGCTTTGCCGAGTGCCCCTGGCACTCGGCAAAGCTCCTGTATCCCGTAGTGGTTTGTGCTCTGCCTCGCCCGACCACTGGGGGTGGGCTCCGCCTCACTCGACCCCGAGGCCACAGGCTTCGCCTCGCCCGACCCTTGGGTTTGTGCTCCGCCTCGCCCGACCTCTGGGGGTGGGCTCCACCTCGTCCGACCCCTAGGCCGTGGGCTCTGCCTCGCCCAACCCTGGGGTTTGTGCTCCACCTTGCCCGACCTCTGGGGTCGGGCTCTGCCTCGCCCGACCCCGAGGCCACGGGCTCCGCCTCGCCCGACGGGGACCCATACCATCGCCAACCACTCCAGGTCCAAAACATATGGGCCTGGGTCAAAACTCTGACACCAACGAAGAGACCGGAATGCCCCGATGTAACCAGTGGCCATGACGAGCCATACCTGAAGATTCACATCAAGAATAGCGTCGGGTGCTGTTCTGCCTAACCCCCGTACGAACGCTGGCAGGCGCGTCAGCTCACCACGACGTCCGTTGCAATGGAATGGAACGCCATGACCGGTAGATGATGCCTACGCGTGGCACCAGTGACGGACAGGGCCGTGATGTGGAGCTGCTCCTGTTGACTTCTACAGGGTCGGCGAGACCCGCATGAAGGAGAAGAAAGACCCAGCGATCCTAAAGGACTTCTTCTCCCTCTTATTCTTCTCTTTTACTCTGCTGTAACACGTGCTTTCCCTTGGCCTATAAAAGGGAAAGTAGGGCGTCCCATGGAGGGGATCAACCCATAGAGGGCCGATCGAATCACTCCGAACCGATCAGAACACGAGATAAACACACAAGAACATGACACGAACACACGGCTGAGCAGCGATTGAGCTCTCAGCACCCGTTCACTCTTTCCACCAGAGACTTGGGATCCTTTCTCTCTCTCGCCCGTTCGTACCCTCTACTACAAACTTACAGTGCTAGTAACATGAGCCGCAGCAACGAACTAGACGTAGGGACTTTCTGCCCAAACTAGTATAAACCTCGTGTCCTCTAAGCACACCATCCAAGCCAGACAGGCAATATTAGAAATTTACTCATCGATGGTAACTCGAAACACCGACAACTACAATAGCATCTAACGTTTGTTGCTAAAAGTTAACAATTACGTTGAATGGTGAGTCGCTAAAGATTTTCCTCAGACTGCCAGTTGCTAATATCGAATACTGTGATGGATTGTTCATCGCTATACATATTTTGGTTTTGCATTGAATCGTCAGTCGCCATATAGCACTAACTGAGTCAAATCGCCGGTCGCTAAATACAACTGAACATTGGCACGATATTTTTAGCCCGCTCCCACAAAGTTTTGGCCTAAAACTCACAGAAACCCTAAGTCACCACATATAGCCTACCAAAACAAAACAAAAATATCATGCCAAAATAGAAACCCCTCCACACGCTGCCTCCAGTTCGACTCTGCCACCCGCTGGATGTCCGCCCCTGCACCCCCGCTGCCTGCCCACCGGAGCCCACCAGAAATCCATGGGGCAGTCTAGGAGAAAGCCTACCTCTATCATCGGATCCCCTGCTCCTTCGTGCCCATCAACCCGCACCTTGCCACCGCCTCCCCCGTTCAACTCACGCTCACGCTGTCGTGCGGCGTGTGGGTTGACCTAAGCGGGCTCATCCGCGCCGTGGGGTGGTCCAGGACTATCGCACCCAATTTTGCATAGCAAAATCAAGTACTCATATATGTGTGTCTAGGATGTCCAAACACACATATAATCTCAAATTACAATAATATCAAAGTAAAGTACTTTATTACATCGTATATCTCATCACATTATCAATATAGTCATGCTCATCAGCAACATTATTACATAAAGTGGAAAACTAAACCCATGTCGCCACAGGGACT